GGGATGTGTTGCAGACTTTCACAGACTGCTCTCTGCTAGAGCAGGTGAACAGATCTAGCAGCTTCAAGGCCCCACCCTTAAATCTTGGCCTCCTTGGCCCAGGACTTGACTCTTGTTCCCTGAGTAGCTGGGGAGCTGACTCGGGTGTGTCCGAAGCAGCCGTTTGTCCCTTACAGGTTCCAAGCCTCTTGCAGAATCCTGTGTCACGCGGGGTCTCCTATGCTAGTGATAAGAACTGACAGGCTAACAGTGGGGCCTGGCAGTGGAATTCAAAGACAAGAGCCTTGCTGGATCTTTGAGCATGACCTTACTAGCGTGGGAGATGAGTGCAACTGTCCTGTAGTTTGAACATTCTTTAGTACTGCCCTTCTTGGGATTTGGGATGAAGATTGACCTTTTTCCGGCCTTATGGCCACAAGCGCTCTGTTGTGAGGGTCATTTGCAGAGATTGGCTCTAAGTCTTGTGGTCCAGCCTCATGAGACCTCCCCAAGATGAGGTGGGCTCTCCCCAGTCCCTTCCCCTGGAAGCACCTGAGTCTGGATGATGGAGGGATGGGTAGGGAAGATCGGAGACTGAATCCTGGGACAGGTGGGTCAACTGGCAAAGACCAGGGAGAAGGGCACCAGCTGCTTCTCCAGCAAGTCACTTTGCAAGTGGCTCCCTCCCACTGCAGCCATACAGTCCCGGCTGCCTGGAATTTCCAGGTGTCAAGGTAGATCCTGTACCAAGTCCTCCCCCTGGAAAGGACGAATCTCTGAACTTGAACTCAAACCAAGTTATTCCCTCACAGGCCTTACCCAGAAAACATGTCTGGAACTGCCAGGGAACATGATCCAATTTTAAACTTTAATCCTCTTGTGAAACTGGATGACAGTGTTGTGACTTGAGGCAGGTGGGCCCAGGGGCCCAGGGGGGTGGTACCAAGGGCTAGGAAAGGCCACCCACAGTGGATAAGGCACAGGGGGCTGGGGTTTGTGTGGTGGGTGGGCGAGATTCAACAAACGGGGTACTAGGTTCGCTTCGCCGAGACTTGGCATTGCTGTGTTTCCCCTAAAACAGAATGAACGGGTTGTCATCAGTGAGTGTGGTTGGACCCCGCTGATGTCATAGTAACTAGCTGAAAATGGGGGAGAAGACTGGGGAATAGCCTCTCCCATCCTTGATTTTCTCACGTGCATATATTTGGGAACCTTATCCCAGGACACAACATCCACAGTTCACACTGGGACAGAGGATGAACAGTGTCCTCTGCTAGGTGCCCAGCTCCCCAAGGACACACAGCTCAGCCTCTGAACACAAAGGGGAGGGCATCCTAACCCGCTGCCAGCTAAGTTCTGATGGCTGCACCCTGGGGCCTACGACAGGCTGCAGTCTGATGGGCTTCCTGGATCGCTGAGAGAAAAGATCAGGGATGAGAAATTTTTGAGTTTTGGGTAATGCCTGATGTGCCCTGGTGTGAGGCAGGCCCAATTTAGGGGGACTTTGGCAATGCAGGGTGGAGGTGCTGGGTAACTGGGAGGTGGCTTGGGGGAGGCTGTCACTCAAGTGGGTGTGGAACTCTTCCCACACATCATTCAAAAGTGTGAAGGCACCTTGGAGCTTGCAGTCAGAGCAGGACAAAGAACCATCCTGAATTGGAGGATTTTTTAAACCCAGGAAGTTTGCCCTGCATGTGCAGATGTCAGGGACCTCAAAGGGACATTCCTTCCTGTGCTCCAGGCTGGGTCAACCTCTTTCCTGAGAGGTGTGAAAAAGCAGCTTGCTGTGCTGGGAGACCATCTCGGGCAGTTCCAAGTGGGTCTGTCACTTCCTACCGACCACAAAAGACCACACACCAGGAGGCAGAGGAATGCCTGCCTTGGGAGATGAACGTGGTAACAGGATGCAAGGCCATAACCTGGGAGCCTGATCATGTCATTCTCAATGCCCCTGCTTCTTAGTTTCCATTTGCCTGGTACCAAATGACCTTAGTTTTAGCTTTTCTGAATTATATATATGTATATAATTTTGCCAGATTTGCCTACTAAGCAAACCTGGGGGAGAGGCTGGCAGTGTGAACTGCAGCCAGGATCCAGAGGTGGGAGCTTCTGGGGGGCTGCCCTGTGGATGTTGGGGCCTTCCTTGGAGCCGGTGCACAACTGCTTTTGAATGTTGTGATGGTGAAACTGCAGGGCTTGCTGGTGCTTTTCAACGGATGTCAAAGTCGAACCTTCTCAGCTATTGTCTCCCCAGATGGGAAACTCCCTGAGGGCAGGGAGGATGTTTTGACTATAGTGGTGTTTCTGGGGCTCAAGCGTGCAGTTTGGAGCTTCACGTCTAAGAATGTCCAGCTCCAGGGGTGTTGAGTGCTTGGGTGTGGCCTCTGATGTGATCCAGCTTGGGGGATGTGTAGGGTCCTGTTGCTTCAGGATCACAGTGGGCCCTCTGTGCTGTCTCGCTTGTGAGCTCGCCAAGAACCGGCAAGCAAGCTTTCTTTGGCTCCTTCCCCTCCTTTAGTTCCTAGTAGGGGTCGGTGCCACCAAACCTGAGCTGCTCGGGCAGGACTGAGCCTGCACTACTGCATGAGAAGGTGGAAGATGTGCCTGGCTGGGCAGGACTCGCCTGCTGGCCCCCGGGGGCTGTCCTGGGTGCAGGAAACGCTTGCTTCCTGTCTGCAAGAGCTTCGCTTCTTCAGCTTTCCCATGTCCAGGTGCTTCTTGTAGGGAGTGTTGCCCCCTTAACTGGAGGTGAAGGAAGTCTGAGTTACTGAGAATAAGGGAAAGCATCTGTCAAATGTGGACGCTGCCCTGATGCCCGAGGGTCACCAGACTGGGATCCTTAGCCTGATGCCCCGCAAGCTAAATGCTGAGAGATTCACAGCAGTGGTTGTTGTCCAGGTGCTAAGCCGTGTCTCTTTGCGGCCTCATAGACTACAGCATGCCAGGCTCCTCTGTCCTCCACTGTCTCCGAGTTTGCTATTTAACCATCTCATACGTTGCCACTCCCTGTTCCCTTTGTCTTCTGTCTTTCCCAACATAGGTCTTTCCCAATGAGTCTGCATCAGGAGGCCAAAGCATGGCAGTGTCACCATCAGTCCTTCCCGTGACTATTCAGACTTGATCTCCTTTAGGGTTGACTGGTTTGAACTCCTTGCTGTCCAAGGGACTCGAGAGTCTTCTCCAGAACCACAATTCAAAAAGCATCAATTCTTTGACTTTCAGCCGCCTTTATGGACAATCTCTTACTTCCATATGTGACTACTTTTGTTGGCAAAGTGATGTGTCTGCTTTTTAAAAAAACCTATTTTAATTGGAGGCTAACTTTTTTAATATGCTATCTAGGTTTGTGATAGCTTTTCTTTCAAGGAGCAAGCGTCTTTTAATTTCATGGCTGTAGTCACCATCTGCAGTGATTTTTGGAGCCCGAGAAAATCTGTCACTGCTTCTACTTTTTCCATCTGTTTGCCATGAAATGGTGGGAGTGGGTGCCATGACCTTAGTTTGAGTTTCAAGCCACCCTTTTCTTTCTTTTACTATCAAGAGACTCTTTAGTTCCTCTTCACTTTCTGCCATTAGAGTGGTATAATCTGTATATCTGAGGTTATTTTACCTGACAGTCTTGATTCCAGCTTGTGATTCATCCAGCTGGCACTTTGCATGATGTACTCTTAAGTTAAGCAGGTGACAATATAGTCTTCTACTCCTTTTCTCAATTTTGAACCTGTCCGTTGTTTCATGCCTGTTTCTGTTACATTGCTTCTTGACCCGCATACAGTTTTCTCAGGAGATGGGAGGTCGTCTGGTACTCCTATCTCTCTAAGAATTTTCCAGTTTGTTGTGATCCATATAGTCAATGAAGGGGAAGTAGACTTTTTCTGAAATTCCCTTGCTTTCTCCATGATCCAATGAATGTTGGCAGTTTGACTTTTGGTTCCTCTGCCTCTTTGAAACCCACTTGTGTACATCTGGAAGTCTTGGTTCATGTACTGCTCATACCTAGCTTGAAGGATTTTGTGCATAGCCTTGCTTGCATGTGAAATGAGTGTACGGTAGTTTGAACATTGAAAGGGGCATCACCATACGCTAATTCTATAGTGTTTTGAGGAACTGCTAAACTGTAAACTATTTTTGTAGGTGGGTCTATGGAAAACGTTTCTGTGATCCTCTTGGACTAAAATTCCTGAATAGATGAGAAAATCCACTGCTTTTGGTTTCATGCTTGAAATTCAATGCTGGGTGGTAAGGTTATTTCAGCTTCAACATCTAGATCAGGAAGACCCCCTCCACCTAGATTGTCAAGCCCCTTTCTTACCTCAAACACTTTAGAGTCTCTGCTCTTAAGATTTAAGACACTTCAGAGATGAGTACTTTTGCAAGTCACGTATGAATTTTCAAAAGATTTGGCCTATCAAACCTTGATCTCACATTTGGTGCTGATGAATCTTCACCCATTGGCAATCTGAATGGTTGACTTTGTATTAACAAGGTAAATTAAGACTGCTACTATATAGGCAAGACCTTCATTTGGGATTGAAGTTTACTCAATTGTTGCTTTTGCATTCATCTCAATTCTTTGCTACATCCTCGGGCTCTTTCAGTACTTGTTCACAACCCCCAGCAAGTAGCCCAGGACAGCTGGAGGGATCCCGCAATGGATTCTACAAGGAGCTTCAGGTTTTAAGTGAAGGCTGCAAAGCACTGGCCTTCCAGAAAGTGGCATCTCCCATTGCGATCTCTGGGTTTCTACTGTCTCTGAATCTGGTAGCTTCTAGATTGCAGAGCAGGATGCTTTTTGCAGCTGACTGCCTTCAGCAAGAGTGAGAAGGACCTGCTTTCCTGGATCAGCCTTCTCACTCCTCTATAACAGGGTTGTCTTTGGACAGGAGTGAAAGGGACTTGAGCACAGGGAAGGGGAGGAGCCTGGCAGGACTGAACAGGGTATTTGCTCTCTGTAAACTCATGCGTGCTGACTCCGGGAGAATGAAGTGTTCTTCAGCCCCCTTTCTCAACCTTCCCAACAGTGGAGCTGCCTCTGAGCTCTGGGGCAAGACTGCACAGTGCTGTCTGAGGAGGAGGGGAGGAGGAGAGCCGGAGTGCCTGCTTTCATGCCCTGGCCCCAGCTGGAGCCCCACTTCTACATATTGTAACAAAACATCATAGACCAGATGGCTAGAAACAGACATCTTTCTCAGTTCTGGAGGCTGAGAAGTCCAGGATCTAGGTGTTAGCAGACTGGGTGTTTGAGAGCACTTTCTCACTTGTACACAGCAGCCTCCAAGCACTTGTCTTTGTCTCCTTGAAAGGATACTGGCCCCATGATGGGACTCTACCTTCATGACCTCATCAAAGCCGAGCACCTCTCCTGGCCCCCAACCTCCAGATACTATCACACTGAGGGTTATGGCTTGAATGTATGAAGTTTAAGGAGGATAAAAACATTGGCTCTAACAGCTGAGCTCTTAGCTATTTCATCTCATCCCCCTAAAGCAGGTGAGTTGTCTTTTTCCCTGAAGACATCTTTCGTGTTGAAATGCATACAGCATAAAATTTGCCTTTTGAAACATCCTAAGTGCACAATTGGCCATCATTAGTGATGGTCATACAATATTGTTAGTGTAATTTGTCAATCGCTCCACAAAAACTCTGCAACAATTAAGCAAGGGGCTCCCACCCCTACCCTTCCCTAACCCTTGTGCATGCTTGCATATATGCTAAGTTGCTTCAGTCGTGTCCAACTCTGTGGGACCCCATGGCCCATAGCCCACCAGGCTCCTCTGTCCGTGGGATTTTCCAGGCAAGAATCCTGGAGTGGGTTGCCATTTCCTTTTCCAGGGGATCTTCCTGACCCAGGGATTGAACTCACATCTCTTATGTTTCCTGCATTGGCAGGTGGATTCTTTACCAGAGCCACCTAGGAAGTCCTTGACAATCTCTAGTCTACTTTCCAAGTGTAACTTGCTTATTCTGCTTTTTGCCCTTTGGTCATAAAACATTTGTCCTTCTGCAGGGCTTATTTCATTTAGAAGAACTTCAAATTATGTCCATGTTGTAACAATGTGTCAGAAATTCAATTCTTGGGTCTGAATAAGAATCCACTGCCTGGATATACCAAGATTTACTTCTCGTCACCTGTTGATGGATAATGGAGTTGTTTCTACATCTTGGCTCTTATGTATGCAGTCAACATCAGGATACAGATAAAACTGCTTAAATCCATGTTTTCAATTCTCTTAACAGGAATGACTGGGTCAAATGGTGAACCCTGTGTTTAGAACTTTGAAGAACTGTCAAAACAATGAATTGGTTCTGGAGGTGGTTCTAGGTGGAAGACCTAAAGTCCTAAGTTCCTTTTTGGAATAAGACCCCCCTGCTAGATGACAGTCACCTCCTTGTAGTTTGACACTTGAAACTGAACATCCAGGAAGGTCATATTTGCTTCCTTAATCTCTGAAAGAAGTCCAATCACCCATCAAGGTGGTCAAGATCTATCTTCAAGGACACTTCTGGATCATTGGCTGTTTGAGTCAACAGAGCTCAATCCAGTCCATTTCACTTAAGAATTCATATTCAATTCAGTTCATATTCCCTATTAAGTAACTTCAGATTTTGAAGCTAGTACGTCCTTAAGACCCTGATGCTGGGAAATATTGAGGATAGGAGAAGGGGATAACAAAGGATGAGATGGTTGGATGGCATCACTGACTCAATGGGCATGAGTTTGCATAAACTTTGGGAGTTGGTGATGGACCGGGAGACCTGGCATGCTGTGGTTCACGGGGTTGCAAAGAGTTGGACACGACTGAGCAACTGAACATCCTTACCTGATGGCAGAATAGAAACCACATTGCATCTCCTCAGTAGCCTCTTGTTTCTGCCTCAATTTCCTGTTGTGCCCCATGACACTTAGGAATGTGCCCAACTTCCCTTGGGCAGCAAGATTTGAGCATTGAATGGTTCACTGTGATTTTTATCCCTTGATTTGTAGAGATCTTGCTAGGTCTTGTCCTCAATACCTGGGGATAGAGGGTCTGTTCAGTGATTTAAGAATAGAAATAGTAAAGGTTTAATCTTTCAGAATCAAGACTGGATTCTTGAACCAAGATAGAGCTTCTATCACTCTTAGAAGTTCTTTGGACTGACCAGCTATTAGAAGTTTGTTCTTATAGGAATTCTGACAGGGAGCTAGTGCTGTACATGACAGGCTTACCTGGAGATGCTACAGGTTCAGTTTCCGACCACAAAACACACATCAGTGTCGCACAAATTTTTTGGTTTCCCAATGCAGATAGTTTATCAAGTGTGCAATAGCATTTCTAAATGTACATTAAATTCCTTATTGCTAAAAGTTGCTAGCCACCTGAACCTTCAGTGAGTTGGAATCTTCACTGGGGGAGGATCTTGCCTCAATGTTGATGGCCATTGACTTACCGGTGTGGTGGCTGAAAGTTGGTAGTAGCTGTGGTAATTTCTCAAAACAAGCTTGAGATACTTGACTTTTCCTTTCATGGATTTCTCTGTAGCATGCAATACTGTCTGGCATTTTACCCACAGAACTCAGATTTTGAGTCGGTCCTCCTAAACCCTGTTGCTGCTTTTGACTAAGTTGCTGGAACTCTCTGAAACCTGTCATTTCAACAGTCTTCACGGCATCTTGACCAGGTAGATCCCTTGTCTCTCCATAAGAAGCAACTGCTCATCCATTAAATTATCGTACACTGCAGCAATCTAGTCACATCTTCAGCCTCCACCTCTCATTCTAGTCCTCTTGCTAGTTCTGTCATCTCTATAACTACTTCTCCTGAACTTTTGAATCCCTCAGTCACCCATGAGGGTTGGAATCAATTTCTTCCTAACTTCTGTGAATGTTTATCTTGACCTCTTGCCATGAATGACAACTGTTCTTCACGGCGTGTAGAATGGTGAATCCTTTCCAGAAGATTTTCAATTTACTTTGCCCAGATTCAGAGGAATCACTATTTACAGCAGCTATAGCCTTATGAAGTGTACTTAATGTGATGTGAAAGTCAGAATGACTTCTCGATCACGGCTGCAGAATGGATGTTAACAACCATGTGTAACAAGATAGTCTCATTGCATCATCAGAGTGCTCTTGGGTGGCCAGGTTTATTGTCAGTGGGCAATAGTACTTGGAAAGGAATCTTTTCCTGAGCAGTAGATCTCAATAGTAAACATAAAATACTCAGGAAACCACGTTAACAGAATGTGCTGTCATTCAGACTTTGCCTCTGCCTGTGCTCTGTAAATGGCACAATCCAGCATAACTAAGGGCCCTATGAGTTGGAAATTGCGAGTGAACATTGGCGTCCACTTAAGTCCCCAGCTGCATGAGCCCGGAACAAGTCAACTGGGCCTTTAAAACTTTGAAGCCAGGTACTGACTTCTCTTCAGCTATGAGACTCTCCAGCATGAGGCTGCTTTTCTGCCCTTAAAGATACTGACTTAGTGTGACCATGTTTATTAGTGATCTGAGCTAGATCTTTGGGACAACTTGCTGCAGCTTCTACATCAGCCCTTGTGGCTTCTAAGTTAAGGAGACGACTTACTGAACCTCCTGAACTGAACTCTGCCTGCTGGTTTAAATGCCTGCAGCTTCCCCACCTCCCTGACATCATATTGCAGAAAGTTAGGGTCTTGCTCTGGACTAGGCTTTGGCTTAAGGGACTGTTGTGGCTCGTTTGTTCTAGCAAGACCAGTAAAACTTTTTCTCCACGTCAGCAATGAGGCTGAGCTTTCTTTGTGTGTTCACTGGAGTAGCACCTTCATTCCTTCAAAAACTTTCCCTTGGCGTTCACCACTTAACTATCTGGCCCAAGAGGCCTACCTTTCAGCCCGTCTTAGCTTTTGTCGTGCCTCCCTCTCTAAGCTTAATAATTTCACTTTTGATATAAAGTGAGACAGGCAACTTTCCTTTCACTTGATTGTTTAGTGGCAATTGTAGGTTACTCGTTGGTCTAATTTCAATATTTAACCTCGGGTCACAGAGGCCGAAAGTAAAGGAGATATGGTGGAATGGCCAGTTGGAGCCTTCAGAACACATCTCTATGGTGCCATTCATGGCATCCCCGGTCACCATACCAAATAGAATAATGAAGAGTTTGAAATATTGTGAGAATCACACATTGTGACAGACCCGCAGTGAGCCCACATTGGAAGCACTGCTGATATGCAGAGTTGCAACAAATCTTCAATTTGTTTAAAAAATTGAACTGAAATGAAGTGAAGCACACCGACGAGGTCTGAAGCTACCCGGGGTGGGGTGGTGTCCTGCCTTCCACCACCTGGAGAGATGGAATCGGGGGGGTGGGGGGAGGCCATCTGTGGTCATCTGTGGCTGCACCTGTCTCTCCTGGTGAGGGGTTTCCAGAAAGAGCTGTGAGCCATGGAGGCATTTTGTGATAACTTGATGCAACCGTCGGGGGCACCTGCTAGTTAAGAGGTTGGTGTCCCAAGTCCTTGCTTTTGAGGGTCAACCTCAAGTGCAGACTGTGCTCACCCACATGGCCGTGCAGAGTGGGCAGGGTATGTGTTGCTGGGTGGCTCACCCTCTCCACCCGGCACTGAACGTGGGGGCATCCTTTATAACCCTCGGGCTTGTGCCCCGCAGAGTCTAGAGGGCCTGCAAGGAGTTCACCATCTCTTGAGTCTGAAGTCACTTTGTCACTGAAAAGACAAAATTAATTTACACAAAGCCCTTTAACTGACTTATATATAATAAGGACTTTAAGGATCATCTTATCATAGGCTGAAATTTACCACACATGACAGGTGGCAGTGAGTGCATTGGGCAAAATCGCCACCTTAACTGGCTTTTTAGGCAATTCAGTTTTGCTCTTCTTATGTGGATATATTTTATGGTTTCCAAAAGTTACCCGGAAGCCATTCTTGGAAAACACCCGTCAGCTTTGTCAATTTGGGCTGGGCTATGGGCTTCCAAACTAGACTATTCCTTGTCCATGACTCAGAAGGGAAAATATAAAGGCCACTGTGCCCCTCTATTTCTGACCCTTTATTCTTGTCTTACTGCTGAGGAAAGGAATGAATCATAGAAATGACTTTATTCTGATTATTGCACGACGAAGTCTTATGACCTCATTAGGAACATACTTAGACATACGCAGACGT